AAATCGTTGGAGCCCTTTCCGAGATTCAGATTATAAATATATTTATATACAAGAGTTGCTCGTTTAAAGATATAAAATTAAATAAAATACATGTTTCAATAATTGATGTACAAATTATAATAGTTAAAATTGAGAGACTACAGGATAACAATAACTATTTGACAACGAAAACAACTAAAAATATATTTTTTGTATGTCGATTAAGTCTGTTGCTATGTCGTTTGGAACATCGGCGAAAAGACGTAGTTCGTACACCCCATGAAATTATTCAAGCCAGCGTGTATCGCTCGAGGGACACTATTGGTTGACCTCAAACCCTCAGATACAATTCGAGTACACACGTGACCTTTCGATGAGTATTTTTAGGCTTACGAGTCGGGGCAACACCGGCTGATGTCACCGTTGGACAATAGCATGACCCTTGAGAATTAAATTAATTAAGGAACACTGAACTGATCGAAGTTTGAGAACCGCGTTACGGGTTTCGGGTTATGTCGTTCCGTTGTTATGATGAATCGGTGAGTTTCAGTTTTGAGAGAGGCCGGCCGCGTTCTACCCTCAAGGGTTGTTAATTAATGCTCTTCGTTCGACTGTATATTTTCTGTTTTATTAGACGGTTACCAGACATACGAATCCCGTGGACAGCATATCGGACTAACGCATCCATATTAAGACAGCTCAATATCTAAACCAGGCTGTCTGCCATCTGCCACAAGGGGATATTTGAGTTCTTCGGCCACATTGCCAGAAAGAGTGGTGACAATCTTAAAAAAAATATTGTAACTGGCAAGATTGCAGGCAAAAGGTCTCGGAGCCGCAATCCAATGCGCTGGTCCGACCAAATCCGCACCACTCTGGATATAACAGTCTATGATGCCATACACACCGCCGAGAACAGAAGAAGATGGCGAAACATCATCGAGAGAAGGATAATCGGAGGGATGGTTACGACCCTCAAATATAAGGAATGCGACACAGGAAGGAGGAGGAATGACATGACAAGATAAAAAACAGACGGAATAAAACGGAGACTACAACCTCATGTCTCAAGCTGAGTACATCCTGAGCTGAGAGCGTGTGCATTCACGTTGTGATGTTTATGGTCTTCGCTTAAAACAATGTGCGGCGCATTGAGCATATCTGCCGTCTGTATAAAGCAATGGTCAAGATATTCACAGCGTGAAACAAAACGCATATTTTATATTATCTGTGCATTTTTCACTCACTCACGACTCATGACTTAAAGGTCTTAGATACCAGGTCATCAAATCCCTAAAAAAAAATTACTCACGACTTTGGCGCCTTTTTTTAAATTTTCAAATAAGTTAAGTATCTAATTATCATGGTCGGACTAAACGTATATAACATCATTTCCACATGTATTATTTAGGGATTTATTATTTGTCCCGAGCGTGAACAAGAAATAGAAAAACTACTTGCACTTTATAAGGTCGAAATGTAAACTTTCCGACAAGCAAAGTCAGTAGTAGTTCATAACGTAACTATTAATGTAAGGCCGGTAAATAAATACGCGGAAGGCTTAAGAGGAGGGTGCTCCTCCCGGTCCAATTACTTTGGAGCCCTCAGCGCACTCGACCCCCGGCCACTCACTCGGCGCTCGTAAGCTAATTCAATTCATTCGTTCTTCGTGCGCGGATTATTCTCTAAAGATATTCTTTTTTTGGCTAATAATGAAACATAATGTTTCGTGAATTAGTAATTTACGTTTGGAATAAATGTTTATAGTAATTGATATGTACATTGAAAATTGTATCGATGTAATTGTACCATGATAAAATTTTACATATCATATTATGTATCGTGATCACGAAAACTGTATTAGAAAAAACGCGAGATTATACCTTAAACGTAGTTTTAATTTTAGTAAGGATGTCACGAAGGCAGTTAGTAATCGGAACTAATCGAAGCGTTCCCGTCATAAGGAATGGTGATATTAACCAACACTGTTCGACGCGGACCGAACTATTATCACAAAATCAGAAACTTTTCTAAAATTATGATTATCTCTATATATAAAAATGAATTGCTGTTCGTTAGTCTCGCAAAAACTCGAGAACGGCTGAACCGATTTGGCTAATTTTGGTCTTGAATTATTTGTGGAAGTCCAGAGAAGGTTTAAAAGGTACATAAATATAAATATACTCGGAATTAAATATAAATAACAATTTTGTTTTTACTTTGATGTGTCCCCCGTCGGACCGGTTCCTTTTGTTTGTTTTAAATTAATTTTATAAAAAAGTTTATGTCTTTTATTTATCGATTGAGGCAATACGAAGTCTGCCGGGTCAGCTAGTTTATTATAAAATAACCTGAGAACTCCACACACTCTCTCGGGTAAAACCCTGGGTCGCTTTGTACGAGACCCACGGGAAGAGATGGGGTAGCCTTATATTCGAAGATAAACAGCCAAATCTGTTACGAATACGTTTTTATTACAAAAAGAATGTGGTGTCAGAAGAATATCCTTTTAAGATCATAGAAAAAAATCGTTATATTAATTTGATCTTTGGCGTCCCGAGAACTCTTTGTTAAAGGCACGTATGGTGCTGATGGACCCGCTAAAGTATTATAGTACAACTTGTATAATCTATCTTCTATCTATCTATTCTATATATATAAAAATGAATTGCTGTTCGTTAGTCTCGCTAAAACTCGGCTTATTTAGGTCTTGAATTATTTGTTGAAGTCCAGAGAAGGTTTAAAAGGTGAAAATAAATATGAAAATGCTCGGAATTAAATAAAAATAACAATTTTGTTTTTCTTTTGATGTGTCCCCCGTCTGACGGATTCCTTTTGTTTGTTTTAAGTTTATTTTATACAAAAGTTTAGGTCTTTTATATATCGATTGAGGCACTACGAAGTCTGCCGGGTCAGCTAGTACTTAATATTTAAGTTTATCTGTAGCCACGGCCGCGTTAAAATAATTTTATACGGACAGACAGACGGCCGCCACTTTGAATTAGTAATAAGGGGCCTCAGACGAAACGCTTATAATTGCAAATAACAGCACTTTACAGATACTGAGGAGTCGGCGCGATGATGCCCGAATCTACGCGAATGCTGTTCATTAATATTCCAAGTTTGGTAACTCGATAAATGTTTGAAAAGGACGATTCATTCGCTTGTAAAGTCTGAGTTTACGGAACGCGGACTTTCGTTGTCTTTGTGTTACGTACTGTGTAGGGAATGATCTGTGAGTATTTTAACGTTCTCGATAGCGTAACAGTTAACTCAAATTTGTATGCAGTTGGAACAGCGCCCCTAGCGGCAAACGTAGGGCAACGTTCCAATTCCATACAAATTAGAGTTAACTTTTACGATATCGAGAACGTTAACAAACTCGCATTTAGTTCACTGATCGTACGGTCGGTTTTCACGAGCCAATCTCAACCGGAGCAGACCGCAACGTTATAACTGGGAATCTGTGATCAGTTTAAGAAGTTTTCACTGAGGCGAACTGATGAAATGTACCACTACTGTGGCCTAGTTCATTTCGGATCCTCCCGATCCACTAACGGTGCATTTAGGTGCTTCAAGCACCGGTCACCGTCCTCATCGAACCCGTCGCTTGCGACGAAGGGCTCGAAGAGTAAATTAACCCTCAGACACAGCCCACTGAGTTTCTCGCCGGATCTTCTCAGTGGGTCGCGTTTCCGATCCGGCAGTAGATTCTGCGAAGCACGGCTCTTGCTAGGGTTCGTGTTAGCAACGTCGTCAGGTTTGAGCCCCGTGAGCTCACCTACTAGTTAAGGTTACGCTGGAATAGCCTCTCAAGGCTACCAGCTTAGATAGGAAACAAAAGTGGCTTAGTGTGAAAATGAAATTTTCCTTTTTTCTATATTTTAACTAAACAATATTGCGGTCGTGGACTGGATTTACCTATTTAAGTTAGACTATGAGCGTTTCACGGCGCTCGAGGGCTTTTATTAAAAAATCTGTAACTTTATTTAATATTCATTGCCGCGTGGACACTGTCAGGGTTGCCACTCAAACATGCAAATTACCAATTTTGAGTTTACCGTGCTGCTTTAAACTAAACAGGTAGCCATTTAACAATCGTGTTAGCATATAGCTGCATTATTTTTTAATGTATTTTTTTAATTGGCGCCGAAGCCTGTGAGGACTTGGGATCGAATTCGCAGTCGTAGTGTATATACCTGTTTCACTCTTTCAATTGTAACGCATGATGTCTTCGAAAAATACGCAGGCTGGTGGTGGAATACGACCCTTGTACGACCAGTTCTTTAGAAAAATTTTCGGGATTTACTTTGATATTTTTACATTTCTTCACTGATACAACCTGGAATTTGGAATGAAATTTAAAAAAATTGAATTTTTTTTTTAAAGATAGTTTGAAACAAAACGCAAAATTAACAAACGTGGAAATAACACATGGCGATGGTTAAATATTATATGGTTTACATAATTATGTTTGGAGTATTATTCCAACGATAATTCCCGATTTTGATTACCGCAAATAGAAATATCATGTAATAGCCGCTTTAAAATATATTTTTTGAATATTTAATACTTAAGTCTTTAAAGGATTAGACGTCCGATGCATTCGTATTGAGCGATGCACCGGTGTTCGAATCCCGCAGGTGGGTACCAATTTTCTAATGAAATACGTATTCAACAAATGTTCACGATTGACTTCCACGGTGAAGGAATAACATCGCGTAATAAAAATTTGCGTAATTAATGGTGGTAGGACCTCTTGTGAGTCCGCGCGGGTAGGTACCACCACCCTGCATATTTCTGCCTTGAAGCAGTAATGCGTTTCGGTTTGAAGGGTGGGGCAGCCGTTGTAACTATACTGAGACCTTAGAACTTATATCTCAAGGTGGGTGGCGCATTTACGGTGTAGATGTCTATGGGCTCCAGTAACCACTTAACACCAGGTGGGCTGTGAGCTCGTCCACCCTTCTAAGCAATAAAAAAAAGAACACACGTTAAAATACTGTTGTCTTTTATTGCAGACGTAGCAGCATTAGTCTTCCATGCAGCACCAAGACTGATATTGTGATACAGGCCGCGACCGACCGACAATAACCTGCACACGAAAATATATGGACACGGACAACTTCTGTCGCTCTATTGAACAAAAGTGAGTCGTCATCTACATACTGATATTTCATTGTCGACGTTATATGCACGACCCAAGATACGTTTTGTTTTTGTTCACCCGCTATGTCGTATTTAAAATAATAACTTTGGATAGTTTGTAGAGTTTATTAAAGTTTACTTGCCCTTAATTAACATAATAATATAATAATGAGATACAAAAAAATCGATAAGAGCTTGACAGCGTTTAAGGAGGGATTTTTTTAAGGAATTGTATGACCTGGTAACTAAAACCTTTAAGTCATGTCTTATTATAATTTATATTTTCATATTTTTATGATAAATTATAATATTATTATGGATGGAGTGAAATGAAATAAAATGCAATGAAATTAAGATGATGATTTTGAGACATTAATCAACTAAGATGAAATTAAATGAAATGATATGGGATGAAATATAATCTCAGTAAAATGGTGGTCATTTACTGAGATTTTTTTAGTGGACTTTCTGGAGGATCCCGAGAAGTTACGTCCAGCGGTTTTGTTTCATTTTCCCACATTTGTGCACGTAAAGGAGGGAAAAGTGTAATGACCAAAGCAAAATATTGACTACATCATATAGATTATACAAACTCAACACTTATGTTTGTAAAATTAGCTTAGGAATGAGCTTAGCAGACGAAGCTTGAAAACTGGTCAGATCATATCGAGTAGATATTGTATATTCTTGATAATTGCATATATTCTTGTAACATTAATAATTAAAAAAAAAAACAAGTACAACGACAAAATTACCGTATCAAAGTTGTTTTTTTATTAAAGCATTGATGTCTTTTTTTCTTTCTAATAAATCAAAGTCAAAGCGACAACAGATTTCACGGAAAAACAATTTTACAGTTTAAATTGACGTAGATATAATATAGTGGATTAGAACCGAATATAGAAGATATAATAATATCGCTCCACAATTGGTCGCATAGCTCGAAAGTCGCAATCGAGGCTCAATGAAATTGCATAAGAGGTCAGACCCTTTCAGATCCCAAGACCTGAATATACCTACCTGTGCTTTGTAATTAATAACCCTACAGACAAATCATGTAAGATCCTTAGCCTGTTTATCATATGACTAGCTTTTGTTCGCGTCTCCGTCCGCATGGAATAGTTACTTTGTCATAACGTTAAATTTTACCCCCCACTTCATTTACGTAGAAAATGAAAATATTTTTGAACTATGGAATGTTAAGGAGCTATTTAAACCCTTATTTTGAAACATTCTCTATTGGTGCTCCACTTGTATTGGTATTACCGTAATGTTATATAGGCTATAGCCTTCCTCGATAAATGGGCTATCTAACACTAAAATATTTTTTCAAATCGGATCAGTAGTTCCTGAGATTAGCTCGTTCAAACAAACAAACTCTTCAGCTTTATAATATTAGTGTAGATAATATAATGTTATACTGAGTAATGTTAATAATGAGTTTGGCGGTCCCCAGGTAGGGGTGGTCGATGCCCCACGCGGCTCCCGTCTCCGCCATGTCGGCCCCGCCGCGCCACCCACACTTTTATACCGTTGAGGTCGGCGACACACGCTTCACCATCCTCAAGCGCTACCAGAACCTCAAACCCATCGGCTCCGGCGCCCAGGGTATTGTATGGTGAGAACACTTGTATAATATTAACTGGCCAATTGCGATTACCGTTATCGTCGTGAAGTTACTAGTAGTAAGTAGTTTTTACTCAAATTCAAATTCAATTCAAATTCAAAATCATTTATTTCAACTTGGATGTCATCAAAAACACACTTGTTGAATGTCAAAATGTAAAAGAAAATGTTAACTCTACCACCGGTTCCAAAAAAAGCCACAGTCCTGAGAAGAACCGGCGAAACAAACTCAGCGGCCTTTTTTTTTTTTTTGGATTTTGTCAAATATTTTCTTTTTTTTTTTAAATAAGAAAACATATTTACATTATACGAAAAAACAAGTCAAAAAAATACAATTCAAATAAATAATAATAATAATAATGAAAAATGAAGTAGTAGGACCTCTTGTGAGTCCGCACGGGTAGGTACCACCGCCCTGCCTTTTTCCGCCTTGAAGCAGTTTGAACTGAGACCTTAGAACTTATATCTCAAGGTGGGTGGCGCATTTACGTTGTAGATGTCTATGGGCTCCAGTAACCACTTTACACCAGGTGGGCTGTGAGCTCGTCCACCCATCTAAGCAATAAAAATTAAATTTAAAGGTTTGTTTTAACCACGTTTCTTCATCAGTGGGTCGCGTTTCCGTGAGTGGTATATTCTGCGAATCACTGCTCTTGCTAAGGCCAGTGTTAGCAACACTCCCGGTTTTAGTCCCGCGAGCTCACCTACTAGCTCGGTGAATCTAGAATAACCCCTCGAGGTTACTAAAATAAGTAGGGAAACAACGTTCCTTCAAAATTGGTTCATTTTTTTATGATAGTCGAAGAAGCAAACAAACGGACAAGTGATTAGTTTAAAAATCGGTGATTTGGAAACATGAACAACTAAACCAAAGTAGATCATTCAATGTGCAGATTATTTTTTGTATTATTGTTTGCAATAAATACTAGTGAATCGATGTTAGGCCGCACTATTGGTATAATCGATTACTTAGTAAAAGAACTTTCCAGTTCCAATCGATCCATCCAATTCAATCCAGTTTCAATTCGACAGTAAGTACAAATTTTTTAAACCAGCGTACAAAGTTACCAACGGTTTTGCAGTTTTTTTTTATATTGCATCGAAGAGCTCACAGACCATCTTGTGTTAAATGGTTACCGGAGCCCATAGACATCTACAACTTAAATGCCGCTACCCACCTTGAGACATGAGTTCTAAAGTCTCAGTATAGTTACAACGGCTGGCCCACCCTTCAAACCGAAACGCATTACTACTTCACGACAGAAATAGGCAGGGTGGTGGTACCTACCCGTGCGGACTCACAAGAGATCATACCACCAGTTTATTATACTCTAGCTTCTATACAAACATTTTGAAAACAACTATAGGATTACAGTTTCATGATTTGCACTTAACATTTTACAAATACATTTTAAGTAACAACGTGATAATTTGTCTTAGTTTTGTTTAAATAATGTAATTAGGAATCACAGCGAAGATCTCGAGTTTCATGAGAATAACACATTACGGTTAGTAGATTCTTAAGTTGGTAACAGCGTCTCTAGCTGTTACCACGCGCGTCCGGCCACTTTTAGTTGCTATAACATATCCTCAACTTGTATCCCAATAAAACTATCCCATCCCCCCAACTACAAGGCAGCGGCTTGCTCTGCCCCTGGCATTGCTGAAGTCCATGGGCGACGGTAACCACTCACCATCAGGTGGGCCATGTGCTCGTCTGCCTACAAGGGCATTAAAAAAAAACCCTCTACTTTTCAAAGTTCTTATCCTAATTTCCTCCTCTAAAGTGGTAGGGAGTATGCCTACAAGGGCATTAAAAAAACCCTCTACTTTTCAAAGTTCTTATCCCAATTTCCTCCTCTAAAGTGGTAGGGAGTATGCCTACAAGGGCATTAAAAAAACCCTCTACTTTTCAAAGTTCTTATCCCAATTTCCTCCTCTAAAGTGGTAGGGAGTATGCCTACAAGGGCATTAAAAAAACCCTCTACTTTTCAAAGTTCTTATCCCAATTTCCTCCTCTAAAGTGGTAGGGAGTATGCCTACAAGGGCATTAAAAAAACCCTCTACTTTTCAAAGTTCTTATCCCAATTTCCTCCTCTAAAGTGGTAGGGAGTATGCCTACAAGGGCATTAAAAAAACCCTCTACTTTTCAAAGTTCTTATCCCAATTTCCTCCTCTAAAGTGGTAGGGAGTATTGTCGACCAACACAGACGTGGTGGCGTCATCTCCGTCCTACCTATCTCTATCGCGTGCGTTCTATTTTGTAATGAGATTCTTTAAATCGAATTATAAACAACGGTGGTTGTATAATCACTTCATTCTTTAGTAGCATGCATGCAATGTAATAAGTTTAAGAATAGGCAAATTCTTATGTGTATTTTACTTAATAATTCGCAATTTTTATACAGCACGCTATCACTTTTGCACGATCCAGCACGATACATATTCACAATCTGGCATTTTGTTTTAAAATATTCACATTATTAGATTTTCGATAGAGTTTAATGATAGTTTTTTTTTTTATAAATATTAGTTTTATCTACATTATGAAGGGGCATGATTTTACGTACTATATATTTGTATATTTATTATTTGTATTGTTTCATCCAAAAATGTTGACAGCTCTCTCTATTCTCTATGGTCTCCTGTAAACATTTAAGACCAGATGGTTCGAGAGTTCTTTCATTCGTCTATGCCATTGAGAACTTGCAATTTAATTGTGAACAACAAACATAAAACGTTACATAATTAAAGACCCGAAGCTATCATTACACACCAACATTACGCCTAGAAATCAAATATCTTTAAAAAGGGGTGCTAATTCTGAAAAAGAAGCAACAACATCCATAATCGTTCGGCCAGAACACTGTCACACACGCGCATGAAGAAAATAAACATGCAATTTCTTTTGTAGCTGATCGAGTATAATAGCGGTAAGATGATACAGTATTACTCAGTGACGGTCGGTGATGCGGTGTTTACTATCCCGACCCGGTACACTGAGCTGGTGGTCAGAGGCGCGGGCGCCCAGGGCATGGTGTGGTAAGCCGCGCCAATACAATGGTCAATCAAACTCCCGCTTCAAGCTTTTGGGACTAATCTGTACTAATTTAAAATTCCCGCGTTAACCAAGCGATGTCCGTATGTGAAACTTTTGCGTGCAACGGATTTATTTTTGTATTTTTGTGATTTCATTGGTATTCTAATGTTGTTCTCAAGAAATTCTATGATGGATGAAATTCACGATTGGTGTCCATTGTTTCGGTTTATTGGATGACTGATTAAAACTGTTGAAAAAGGATCGTTCTGGAATAAGGCTAACGAGTGAGTGTGTGTGACATTTAATTCCCGCTCTTGTCACTTTTTTTCAAAATGGCCGTTTTCTGTTTTTGAACTTTTTTATTGACAAACGAGTTTTCAGTATTGCACATTCATCATCTGTATCATAAATAGTATTAAAACATCGTTTTGATTTTTATGTATTGAACCGGTAAATTTTTGGTACTACATACTTTCGTCATTACATTAATATGCATGGCTTTATCTTAATAATTTTCAAACTGTGTTTTTTTTAATAGCCATTTGATTTATTTATAAATATTGTATTTATTATTATTAATTAGTTTATTTCTCTAATTCTTTATGTTCATGTGTGTGTCTATAAACAGGTAAATTATTTACTAAAAAACCATAAACAATTCTTAACTCATTACGGCTGCAATTAAAATAAATTATTGGTATTTGATTTTTCGTTTAAATGAACTTTACCACAACCTTTTTCACTTCGCTCCACGCTGAAGAAGAAACTGAATTTATAATATGAAATGATTGCTCATCGATTTGTAGGTGTTAATAAAAAATTAATAAATTGAAAGCTAAACTGTTTGATTTTGTATTCCAGTGCCGCATACGACACGGTGACGCAACAGAATGTTGCCATAAAGAAGTTGTCGCGTCCGTTTCAGAACGTGACGCACGCGAAAAGAGCTTACAGGGAGTTCAAACTTATGAAACTTGTCAACCATAAAAATGTAAGCTTGGTTATTTTTTATTTGCCTAAAAAGGTGGTCGGCAATCCGCGGCCCTTTGATACAACAGTTACGACTCTTTCGCGAAATATTTAGTGTAGGCACAAAATATTGCTTACTATCTTGCCTTGTAAAGAGTAAAATTTTTTTAAACAAAAGGCTATTGAAATATATCGAGGGGTGAAAGAACATTTGGTTTTAGCGAAATTTCGCTTAATACGCGAAATTTATTTTCGTAATTAAAGGTGCTTTTTATTTGGTAATAACGTTGATTATTATTATTGTTCGACGTTTTAATTGAACTTCAATTAAGTTTACTCCATTCAAAGAGTTGAAGAAGTTTTTTTTTCGTAATATATTTTTCAAAATGATAACCTTTAAATGGCTCTCTTGTAAAGTTCAAAAAATTTCGCTTAAACCAAATAACCCTTCACCCCTCGATAATATGTTCTAAAAAATGGCACCTTAAATAAAATCCAATTACGTGCTATCTATATTTGGCTTCTGCTTGTCGACCCCTGGCCTAAGAGATTCTTGTCAACGACTTGACAATGCAGCCGGCATTTAAATTGCAGTTCTTCCATGGCAATAAAGGAATTGCTAGCATGACAATAGAGGTTCAGTATTTAAATTTAATGATGTGCCGTTGTTTGTAGATAATCGGATTGCTAAACGCGTTCACGCCGCAGAAAAGCCTCGAGGAATTCCAAGACGTGTATCTGGTTATGGAGCTGATGGACGCTAATCTGTGCCAAGTCAGTCCTGTATAATTCATTAATTTATTTATTTGTTTATTTATGAGGCTCACAATACACGTCACAAGCTAAAAAGATACATAAAAGACATAAGTAAAACGATAGTAAGTAAGTAAAATTATACGACAAAACAACACGATAACGAAAACTAATCTAACTTATAATGTAAGGATATAATTTTATTCACAATATACAAATAAAATATTATTTTTTTAATAAACTAAAATAACGTTTATAAAGAACCATTTCAAAATATTTTCCATTGATTTGCATTGATTTACAAATGTATTATTATTTTTTTTGTTTTTTTTTTAAAGTACCCACTTTTTTTGAGAAATATTTTGGCTATTTTTGCAAATTGTATTGAAACAAGTTCAGCACTAAAAGCGTTAAAATGCTAATTGCAGGTGATTCAGATGGATCTGGATCACGAACGGATGAGCTATCTGCTGTACCAGATGCTGTGCGGCATCAAACACTTGCACCTCGCCGGAATCATTCATCGGGTTCGTATTTTAAGGGAAAAAAATACCTTTTGGCTGGCAACACTCAGTCTCAGTTGCAATGGAACAATTGTGAAAATGATATTTATTGGTGTCGATAAACTGTTCGGAACCAGTTTTAATAAGGTTAAACAGTTTATCATTTTGCCCATAGACTCATGTAAATTGAATAATTTATGCTTCTTATGATGCAAGATACGGGCCGAAGAGATTTATAAAAATAAATGAACAGGATTTTCGACAATAACAAAGATATCTTAAAAACGTGTTCTTAGATATATTTTTTTGAGAGTGTTATACGGCTCTGGATGCGAATCCTTATGAGCCCATGTGTTTTTAGAAAATTAACAAAGTTGCTCACCTAAAATGCCTATCTACCATGTTAGTAGCTTTTTATAAAGTTAAGTAAAGTTAAGTTTTATAAAGTTTTTATAAGTTACTACACTTTCGAAGCTATTAACTATTTATACTAAATTAAAAATGCATATTTAAAATAAAACATAAAATATAAACAAGACAAAGAAACAAGAGTATCGTGCTAATTGTGACGTAATGGTTTACTGAACTGTGACGTCGCTGAAATAAAACTAGAGCAATTTTTTTATCATCCTACTTTGTAATGTCATTTGATTTAAGAACTTGATACTACAGAAACATATTTTTTTTTCAATGATAATTTTTAACGGTTATAACTTACAGTAGGTACGCCTATAAAACGAATTATCGTACATATGTAATTGTTTGACATAATTTATTGTAAATAATTCATAATAAAGCTATTTTTATTAAAGAGCCAATGAAATCGAGTATTTCAAGTTAATATTGGATTCGTTTCGCGATCAGGATCTGAAGCCGTCCAACATAGTGGTGAAGAGCGACTGCACGCTGAAGATCCTGGACTTCGGGCTGGCTCGCACCGCCGGGACCACCTTCATGATGACGCCCTACGTCGTCACGCGCTACTACCGCGCGCCGGAGGTGGGACCATCCCTCGCTTCACTCTTAACCAATACATTTATTCATCATCATCATTCTCCTGCCCTTCTCCCAGTCACCTGGGGTCGGCACAACATGTTTTCTCCTTCCATACTCTTCTATCATATACCATTTCTTCTTACCCATATCGTCTTTCACCCAATCCATCCATTTCTTCTTAGCTCTAACCTCTTCCTCTGTATCCTTCCACATAGTTAACACTTACCTTACCAACCTCATTTTCATTTCGTCTCATCACATGTCCATACCATCCCAAACGCACGGTACAAAAATTGGTAGCCACCTGGGGTTCGAACACCGGTGCATTGCTCAACACGAATGCACCGGACGTCTTATCCCTTAGGCCACGACGACTACAAGGATATAACAATATAACTATGGAACCCTAAAAGTTTTTACTGTCGGCGCGCGTTTCAGGTGATCTTGGGTATGGGCTACACCGAGAATGTGGACATCTGGTCCGTGGGCTGCATCATGGGGGAGATGATCCGCGGCGGCGTGCTGTTCCCCGGCACCGACCACATCGACCAGTGGAACAAGATCATCGGTATGTCGGTGACGCTGTCTGGATCTTTTGTAATTAATGCAAGGGTTCCCGGATTGCCTTGATGATTTGCCTTTCATCATCATCATCATCATCGCAGCCTATCTACTATCCACTGTTGAATATAGGATCCTTCAATTGATGTCCAGTGCGGCCGGTCTGGTCTGAAGTAGTGGGCAGGCCATATAGCGCGAAGATCGGACCGAGGACGGAACACAAAGATTTCCCTTTAAATGAGAATAATTCCAACACACCGCAGTTTAAAATAACCAAAAATAATATGTGTTTTGTAAACTAATTGTAATAACTATCTATAACAATCTTAACTGAAAATTGAAGGTAGTTTCTCGCATCATACGAAAACGTCGGGTATTCCCCCCGTGCGTCCATTAATTCTAAACTGTATTACATTGCGTGTTAAAATATTAGTCGAATATAATATTTAAGTAGTTCGTTTGGTTGTAATTTTAAATTGTAACAGTTTTATCAAGAAACGCTAGACTACGATCCTACCTTCAACGTAATCATATAAACTTACCAGAGGAACATTCGTTTGAAAGCGTATACTCGTATAGCGTAAGCGTATGCTTCTTCTCTGTGCTTAGTGCGAGTTTTTTAACGTTCTCGATAGCGTAAAAGTTAACTCATATTTGTATGGAATGGGATCGTTTGCCTACGTTTGCCGCTAGGGGCGCTGTTTCAACTGCACACAAAATTGGGTTAACTTTTACGCTATCGAAAACGTTAAGAAACTTGCACTAAGCACACTGTCTATAAGGGCAATAAAAAAAATCTTGTCAAATCAATACTATGCCTTGTCCCGGCCTCTCCCGCTGGTAGCTGACCGTCTCTGACAGGAGCAAACCGCTGTAATAACAGTTGTTATTGTACACCAGAGCAACTGGGCACGCCGTCGGCCGCGTTCATGTCCCGGCTGCAGCCCACGGTCCGCAACTACGTCGAGAACAGACCGCGCTACTCCGGGTACAGCTTCGAGCGGCTCTTCCCGGACATACTGTTCCCCAGCGACAGCAACGAGCACAACCGACTCAAGGTAACGCCGCGCCGGTCCGACTGCACCGTGACGTCACCGATGTCGACGCCGTACTGACGAGCTCCCCCTTCCCCCCTCCCCCAGGCGTCGCAGGCCCGCGACCTGTTGTCGCGCATGCTGGTCATCGACCCCGAGCGCCGCATCTCAGTGGACGACGCCCTGCTGCACCCCTACATCAACGTCTGGTACGACGAGGTCGAGGTCAACGCGGTGAGTACCATACTCTGACACTGACACTGACATTGACACTGACACTGTCACAGACATTGACACCGGCCACGCACTGCGCCGGCCCGTAGCAGCCACGCTCTCTGGAAACGTCCGCACGAGTATGTATCACAGTCTTGCCTAATTCTGCCGTGTTCCTGTTTGAAGGGCGGGTCATCCTTCCATTAGATGTCCTGCTGTGGACAGCAGAGATGTCCGTGGGATCCTAACTGTTAAGAACTTGATACCAAGTGAGTCGGTGTGCCCGACTTGGAAGTAGGAGGGTCTGAGGTAGCCAAGCTCAGATGCATGTGTATTTTCAAACTATTTTGGTATTAGCATAAGGCAATAAAACAATAAAAAACTGAGCGGTGTTTTTGTTCAGCCCGCGCCGGCCTCATACGACCACTCTGTGGACGAACGCGAGCACACCGTGGAGCAGTGGAAGCAGCTCATCTACCAGGAGGTGGTCGAGTACTCCGCGCCGCCCCACCCCCCGCCCCCGCACCCCCCGCCCGCCGACCACGCGCAGCCCGCACTCACCACGTAGGCACCGCCCCCTCCCTCACGTAGCCAGGAAGGAACACTACTCACCCTCTGCGCATAGGGTATTGTACACCCAAAACCTTTTCCCTATGTGAAAACGATGTGAATTTATAAACCGTAACACAAAATAGAGTGGTACATTGTATGAATAACCCGTGATTGTTTTTGGAGATACTATTTAACACAGTCCTCATAAAGATCCTTCGAGAATGTCTGTAATTAAAAATCGGGAAATATACCTTTCATAGAATTGGTCGAAGTTAAAGAATTTCCGAGATCCCTCGAGGACATGCGTTCCTGGCTGCGCTGGGCCACAGTCCACACCCCCCCAGCGTCCCCCGCGTCCCCCCGCTTGTTGTTTCAAATCCGTTATCGCCCCGTTACGTAGTTTCTTCCCGTTCTTATGACGTATTATATTCGTAGCATAAGTTTAATTGTTTAGTGTGATGGCTACAATGCGCTTTTTATCGTTTTTCAAAAGCTCTACTGGTCCCCTACCTCCCCCCCCCCTCCCTCCCTCCGTCACAGTTGAGTTCTCGTTCGTAATTTCCACTCGAGTAATAATTTCCACTTCGGAGTGCCTTTAGCGAACCCGACGCGGCGACGACTTCAGCTTTTGTCCACTATATTTTCATACGTTTGGATATTTTTGTAATGACAACAATTTTGATAAGCTGTGAAAAATAAATGTTATATTTATATATTTATGGACCTTAATGCTATGCAATTGTTTATTTGAATTGATTTATTTTAAATATAAAGTACGTAATGATGTAAACTAGCTGTACGAAGTTAATGATACGGAAAGTTGAGCTTATTCTGTGTTGTTATCGAATGTAATTGAAAATTTTATTTTTATTTCTTAAATTTTAATTTTATTGTATAATTATAATTAACGTGCAGTCATTATTAGTTGTTTAATGCGTTCGATATTAAGTTTATCGACTATAACCGTTGCATATCTCACTCTAAAATTCTGAAATTGACGATGAAATTAAAAAAAAAAACGTTTCCCGCGTTTACCATAGAGGTGTAAATCGAGGCCATAGACAAAGGCGAGTGAGGCCGTGCGTATGTAAAACATTATTTTCTTGGTCGCGTACATACATCTTGATAGTTGGGATTTTGTGATGTTAATAGTTCTTCGGTAATTAGAGATTAGTTAGGTTGTTGATATCGTATTCACTGCGACTAGCGTAAGTACATTTTTACCTAAGTAGTTACTTATAGGAAGCCTCACACACGTCACCCTTGGATGTAGAACGGAACTGGAAACAGAGATACGTAAAATACATGAGAAAAAAAAACAGTAATATAAAATTACATACATAACGGAACTTAATTACCGTTATAAGAATAATAATAGTTTCACCAAAAAAATTGTAGCTTCATATTTGAAATCGATAAAAGTTATCTTATTTCCTCATTACATCATAAGTATTTATAATGAGTAAAGACAATATAGAAGTTTCTTCAAACATTACATTACATAAACTTCTAACGCTAAATTAGTTGATAATAAACGAAAATATAATGATAAATTACTTGGCAACATTTATCTATATACACATATTTATGTATGCCATTTTTCGGAACATACAGAGCATTTAATTACTAATAACATATTACATACGAACGCAGTCCGTCTCTGTAGAATATCCAGTTGTTTTGCGTGTTTAGATCGAAAACATTCGTTTAGTAATAATGAATGTGTGAGGTACACCGTAGTTTATCGTTTGAAACCTCATTAGGTGATATAAGTTTTAAGTGATGGACGATTGTCGTGATAATATTCATGGTGTAGCACAATTTGTAGCGGATACTAATCTGGTGATGGCGTTATGGCGCCATTATGACAACAGCAATAATGATATGTGCATTCGTACGCGCGTGTCTATGTGTGTGCACGCGTCACTTCTCTACGAAACATCTGTTAGACCGATTCGCTTTACTTTTGTTCACATTTGTATTTTATAAGACTAATGTCATTCGTAACTTGTGTATGTCGTAATGATTGTTGCAATTGAATGGAACAAAAGCAAAGTGAACTGTTTCTATACCTATGTATAAATACGTTTTATCTTAAATTAATATAAATAAATAATATTGACAAGTGTACGTCCAAATTGTCCATGTATTAGTTAATGTACCTAATACAATATTACATTAATGTAATCATTAGCGATATTCTAGTACATTTCGTGAAAGTATCGCCACGCTGCGACGTGTCAGCGTCCGAAGCGACCCACTTAACAATTGGATTGATATCTGAAAATACTTATTTTTACTGTACACGTAAGTTATTTCATATTTTAACTGAATAAATCGAAATGGTTATTATAGTTGTATGTTTTATTTATTTAATACCCTTCAAAATCCATGTCAACCTTCAGTGACTTTAGAAACAATTCTTGTTGATTCACCATCGCTAAAATAGTCCTACTTCCAAGATACTGTCTCATGAATGAATGAATGAATGAACTGAACATGGCGCTAATCAGAACTGGCTATCTCAGTAAAATAAACTGCCAGACTGTTACAGTTATTAATTGGATACTTATCTTGACTTTTTTGTGTAACTTGTCGAAAGGCAAGCAATTGCTTAAATTCAAAACAGAACAAAGAAACATCAAACGGGAACGCATGACTGTTTTGCGGCAGAAAAAAGACCAGATTATGGATATCTATTCTAATTTATTTTTCAATTCACAGTTTATAGACGGTTGATAAATGAATATTAATATTCTCTAAATCTAAGAAAATCCTAAAATTAAATGAACCAAATAATACAAACCAGTTCTTCATTTTGTTACAATGTTGCCGAAAAATAATATACATACATATATCTTTTTATTTTGAGTACTTTAATTAAGATAAATAAATAAGAAAAATGATTTCTGTTTTGAATGTAAATGCATAAAAGGAAATTTAGTATCTAGGTAATATATTGTTCGTAAGTCAGTGCGGGATAAGCGTATACATTTGATTTGCTTAAAGATAAAGGTATTGAAAGTAGATATATTGAAACCAGTTATTTAGTTTTGTTAACTAACTGTACAGCTGTTTGATGAACGAAATAAATAAGAAAAAAGGAATTCATTATATATTTTTTGAAGTAAAACTTCTTTAGGCGCGTTAAGAGTAAAATTTAAATTGCGACAGATTCGTTACGGCTAGAGAGAGAAGATACAATTTAGGAAGAGCGAGAGTAAGAAAATAGGTAGGGCATCTCGTGAACCACTCAACCGTGGAGAGAGGCAAAGGGCAAAGCGAGTTAGGTCGTTTTTTAATTTAGTGACATCTATTAGATTTCATTTAACTACTACATTGCAAGGCCAATTGCGGTGTAAACAGTTTAGTTTCTAAAATATTTACAGAAGGTGGTATTTTAAATAAAAGTAATTATCACTAAAAATATTAATATGTAAAACCAAAGGACTTGTTCGGTAATCATCGAATACTGGCAACAACTTCTTTAGATAGAATGTGTGTGCTAATATTTATTTCTCAAGATACGTTGAAGTTCCACTTCTTTCACGTGCACCAAGCCCCGTCAGTAAATATCTACAGTCGGCATCGCTGCGCCACTTCGAGAAAACGGCACGACATGAGAACCCTCTTGTCGTGCCCGCTGGAAACTACATACCCGACCCGGTAGACCGAATGGTAAACCGTCGACGTCGCCCAAAGCACGTCATTACGGATCCTCCTGATTCATTAACGGTGCTTTTAGGCACCACAAGCATCGGTCACCGTCCTCGTCGAACCCGTCGCTTGCGACGAAGGGCTCGACGAGCGAATTAACCCACAGACACAGCCCACTGAGTTTCTCGCCGGATCTTCTCAGTGGGTCGCGTTTCCGATCCGGTGGTAGATTCTACGAAGCACTGCTCTTGCTAGGGTCAGTGTTAGCAAATCCCCAGTTTGAGCCCCGTGAGCTACACACGCTAGGGTAAGCTGAAATAGCCTCTCAAGGCTATCAGCATAGGTAAAAAAAAAAGTACCAAGTTTTTTTTTGTTTCCAAGTTCTGACATCAACCATAGAGAGAGACACATAAATGAAATGTGCTGATGTCAATGGCTCAGAATGGCTGACACTGACAGTTTGAATTGAATTGACAATCGTCGTCAAACAATTTATTCTGTCACACCACAAGTTTGTTTTTATTATAGCATTCTTGCAAAAATAAAGTATGCTAATATTATGACTAAGAAAAAGGTTTTTAAACAAATCAGAAATAATTCGGTCTAAAATTAAAATAACAAATAAAACTACAAGATGTCAGAGAAAGACAAATCCAAATCGGGTGGTCAAGCTAAGCACATTCCCAAAGATGCCCAAGTCATCATGTCCATCATGAAGGAAGTAGGTATCACTGACTATGAACCGAGAGTCGTGAACCAGCTCCTAGAATTCACATACCGCTACGTTACATCAGTATTAGATGATGCAAGGATATTTGCAAACCACGCAAAAAAGAAAACTATAGATCTTGATGATGTGAGACTGTCAGCTCAAATGCAATTGGACAAGTCCTTCACGAATCCCCCGCCCCGTGAAGTGCTACTGGAGATCGCGAGGGTCAAGAATGTTAATCCTTTGCCGTTGATAAAGCCGCATTGCGGGTTAAGACTGCCTCCGGATCGGTAAGTATTGGTAAATGTAGCACACTTTAATCCTATATCTCACAGCACATTATATTAATCTTTCGTGAGTATGGACTTAGGTAATTTGAGGCCTATAAAATCAAAGGCAGCTAAATCCAAGTCTGTCAAATATTCAGGTAAACTACAAAAATCAGCCCTAAACACGTCATTACGGATCCTCCTGATCCATTGAAGTACTGCTCTTGCTAGGGCCAATGTTAGCAACTCCCGGTTTGAGAAGCTGAAATAACTGTTCGGATAGCTACGATATTCTTTATTTTAAAGCAGATTTATAAAGAATGAGAATATTACTAATAATCTGAATTTTAAATGATAAAACTTCGTTTATTAGTACTTAGTACAGAGTAAAAATAAATTTTTTGAACTGAATTTGTTAGAGATTCAGCTACATTTGTTATAACATGAAAATACTAAAGAGTGTCCAACTAACTAAACAAGATAGCACCACTGTTAATCCATTTTACGACATTAAGGCGTTTAGCTGCCTTTGATTTTATTCTCCTCATTTCTTCTAAAATCAGGATTACCTGAAATTGCTAAAGGTTCAATCACCAGGATGAGGGAAAAATACTCCACTTTAGACCAGACGTATGTAATTTGCGCACCATAAATTGATTGCAACTACACTTCAATTAAATACTGTGCTTAACATTCAAAGTTCAGTAAAGTCTTCTTGTAAACAATATGTTTAGGTGACAGCTTGTCTTATTACAATTTGTAAGTAGTTACTGATACTTTAATACTGCCTGTTACTAAGAACTCTTCGAACTTCACTGAAATAATGTCAGAATACTCCATAAACACCAATGGTTGCATTTGGGAGCCTGGTATAATAGTAAAAATGATGAATAGAAATGCACTATGGACCAATTCCGCTAACAAAGGAAATTATGGAATAATTTTAATTAATTTTGATAAGATTCCCTTAACACCCAAAGCCTCTTAATATGGCTAACTTGTAAATCGCTGCATGACTACAGAAAACGTTAATTTTTCCAGTTACTGCCTGTCATCCTGTAATTACAAACTGAAACCAGCAACCAAGAAAGTGATCACAAAAACTACAATAACCCCTTCCCCGTCCATAAAAACGGTCACCACATCCAAAGCACCTCAACAGACAGTTGTTATGAAGAGACCACCGGGAGCAATTGTGAATGTGGGCACCCCAAAAACCAGTCTCGGAACAAAACCTGTATTGAAATTTTCATCAAGCAGTAAAGTAAGAATTTGGTTTGATTTTAAAATTATAGAATAGATAAATAGACAACACTATGCTTTATCATATTCATCACAGATTGGAACTGTTAAAAAGTGGTTTCTTTATTTCCTAACAATAATTTTAAATGTTGAAAACTGATAATCTATATTATGATATAAACAAAACGAAATTATCTATTTTGTCTAATTAAATTTCACCTTATATTTGATAATATCAAAATTGCGTCACCATTTTTTTATGATTATGTATTGAAATTTACATTATAAATTAAAACTACTTTTAATCTTTCATTTTTTATTTGCTTTACATTATTTCTGACATTTCTGTAGTTAGCACAATATTTAAATGTCAATGAATTATATTGCAGGTAGTAAAACCAGCTGTAAGAGTGACAGCTGGTCCTTCCTCACAGGCTCCTATCAAGATGGAGACAGACGAGCCAATGAGCCACAAACGGAAAAGAGAAGATGACGATTATGATCTATAAATAATTAATAGGATCACGATCTTTCTGTCTGGAATCAACATTTTGATATTAAAAAGTATCATGTGTTTAATCCCATGTTTGTTTAGTGATTAATTCGATAAAACCTAATGATGCAAATTGCTCAGATTCTATGGTTTATATGACTAAGGGTATTTTAATTATTACTGTAGGTAGAAATGAAAAAAAAATGGAATTTTTCCTAATGGTTTTTTTTAAGTGAATCGTATTTCAATGAAACCGCTTGCCAAAAGTTCTAAAGATAATATAATAACAGAAAGATTTAAGTAAGAGAATCTGAGATGCAAAGAGTCACTGTCTGCTGTCTTACTGTGCCCTGTAATTTAAGTAAGATCTGGAGGTGAATGCATACCATTTTGATGCATAACTAGATTCTTTTTAATTTGTGACCTTGTGAGCTTGGCTGCCTTGCAAATTTTGAATTGAATTTGATATTATGTTGTAGTTTTCTAGATGAGAACAAGATATCTACAGCGATTTAACATACATTTAAGAGGCATTAAAACAGAGTAAGATAAAAATGCATTCACAGAACTTGATCGTCTACTATTATTTTATATCTTCAAATTTTTTGCAAGTCAGTCAAATGTATCCATTTTTTTCTACCTCCTGTTGCATTATTCACTAGCTATCGTTGATAGATATCAATTTCATGGACACATTGAGCTCAACCTCTTTTTGTAATAGGAAATAAAATCAATTTTGTGCTAAGTTTAGGATAAGTTATATAAATATTAAAGGTTTTTTTTAACTTTCTGTTTCATTGTTTTTTTTAACTTTGTGTTTTATTTCATTCTTGTCTAGATCACGGATGAGCAACACGCGGCCCGCCGACTTTCTCGTTTCTGTTCTGTTCTTTTCTTGTTTGTTTTTATCTTGCATTAGTAAATGTAAATTCTTTACCTTTTTTTTCATTTTTTATTCTAATATTATATGTAAAGCTTCGTAAATTATTATTAGGAGTTAAAAAAAAAATTTAAATTAGCCAATTGATTCAAAAGGTTGCTCACCCCTGGTCTGAATTTTTTTAATAGTTCGAGGCATGGTTGTGTTTTTAAAAGTCCTGCATACTACATTGGTATATGCTAGGTAGGGAAGTCATCATTTTAATTATTTATGGAGATAAGTCAAACACAATCAATAAAACTTGAAATATAATTTATTCTATTAAAATTTTTGATATTAGGTATTTCTGAATATAAAATATAACTAAAAACACAGTGTATATGTCTTAGATCTAATGTTGTTTATGCTTAATAATATTATTTCTTTTCGTATTTGTAGAAACCTTCCCCAGTCTTCACACCTAATTTTCCTTCAGCAACAAGCTTTTCTAGCAAGGGTATAGGTTTGAACAGTTGCTGATCCGGAAACTTCTTGTGCCAGCCATCCAAGATAAACTTGTTTGTGTCTAAGCCAACATAGTCGGCCAGTTCTAGTGGACCCATGGGGTAGCCAGCGCCGAGCTTCATTGCTATATCAATGTCTCGAGCTGATGCATCTCCTGGAAATGTTCAGTGTGGTCAATAGTTTCACAGAGCAAGAGGTCACAAGTTATGTTTTTTATTTATTGCTTAGATGGGTGGACGAGCTCACACCCCCCTGGTGTTAAGTGGTTACTGGAGCCCATAGACATTTACAACGCAAATGCACCACCCACCTTATAAGTTCTAAGATCTCACTCAGTATAGTTACAACGGCTGCCCTACCCTTCAAACCGAAATGTATTACTGCTTCACGGCAGAAATAGGCAGGGCGGTGGTATCTACCCGCGCGGACTCACAAGAGGTCCTACCACCAGTAATGTGGTACCAGTGTGTGGTAATATACCAAACCAGAAATAGTAATGGAGATATTCACATTATCATGTCCGATAAACACCATGTGGGCAGTTATATTGATCTTATTTTAATTATAGTGTTTGTAAGAAGTTAGATATATGTATTTATTATCATAGAAAGCGGAGCGGCTTATGCCGACCTAATGGTAAATTATTACTGTCACAAGACTGTAGCCTGTTAGTGAGGCTACTTATTCTCGCATATAAAGGATTACTGAGTGCAGGTTGCAGCAGGTACATGTGTGTTTAAGTTTGTAAATAACTAGATAAAATAATAAAAAAAGAATAGTCAGAATATCAGAAATACCAGTGGTACTTGTAGTATTGTCCTATGGCATTTTGTTATGGGGCAATGCGGCCGATGTAGAAATGATATTTATTCTGCAGAAAAGAGCTATACGTGCTATTTATAACATGCACTCCAGGGAATCCCTGGGGGAAAATTTTAAAGAAATTAAAGTTCTCACTATGCCATCCCAGTACATCTTTGAAAATTTGATGTATGTTCGATGTATTGAGGAGTTTCCTAAAAAGTCTGACTTACATAAAATACTAGGAGCAAACACAAACTCGTTGTGCCGATGAGTAGGTTACATAAGATACGAAATTCATTCGGGTGTTTGTCTGTGCGCCTGTACAACAAAATCCCACAAGATGTTCAGAACCTACATATACATAGGTTTAAGAAAACTATTAAAGAACATCTGTGCAATAAAGCTTACTATAAAGTCAATGATTATCTAGAAGATTGCACAAAGTGGGAATCAGTTGCTCGCTCCGGGCATTTCAATATTACACTAATTGTTACGTTATAATACTCCTTGTAAAAATGAATATTTAAAAATAATCTAATATGTATTTAAGAAAATAATAATCTATATTTAAAAAAAAAAACATGCCCGCTGAGTTTCTTGCCAGTTTTTCTCAGGACGGAGACTGGTTTTTGTGAATTGGCGGTAGTTCTTTTTGACGTTCCACAAGTATGTACTTTCATTTATGTTGAATAAAAAAAAATTGATTTGATTAGATTTTTTAATTTTTTTTTATTGCTTAGATGAGTGGACGAGCTCACAGCCCACCTGGTGTTAAGTGGTTACTGGAGCCCATAGACATCTACAACGTAAATGCGCCACCCATCTTGAGATATAAGTTCTAAGGGTCTCAATTATAGTTACAACGGCTGCCCCACCCTTCAAACCGAAACGCATTACTGCTTCACGGCAGAAATAGGCAGGGTGGTGGTACCTACCCGCGCGGACTCACAAGAGGTCCTACCACCAGTACAAGTGAGTACACCAAAGCCAGTACCTACAATTTCCTAACTTTTTCAACCCTTGTTTATGGTGATTAATATGTCGCACAAACTACACCAGTAGCTCTATCTTATTTAAACAAAGATCCTTTCGAATCATCAAATACTTATAAAAAAATATCTACAAACCTCTTTCGTACAACCTAATGGCTTCACATATGTAAGGCACCAACAGTCTATTCACAACGAAACCAGGGGTGTCCTTGCAAGTGATACAGGTCTTGCCGACAGACTTTCCCCACTCCATCATAGTTTTGTATGTAGCTTCCGATGTCTCACTGCCTTTGACGACCTCTAGCAAACGCATCACTGGGACCGGATTGAAGAAATGAAGACCGCCAAATCTGAGGAAGATACTCTTATGTAAATATTTATTTAGACAGTTCATGTTTGTGTTCCCTTCTTCTCAGTCGTACACTACTGCCGGAGTGGTCGTGGTTACGTATGTCTTAATGCTTGGTTGCGGCTTTTGAGAGACTTTTCCATCTCACTCTATTTGTGGCGGTATGTGTACATTAGTGTGTTCCCTAGAGACTCCGAAACGACTGGACCATCTTTTTTTTTCTTCATATGCTGATAGCCTTGAGAGGCTATTTCAGCTTCTCTTTGACGTGTAGGTGAGATCATGGGGCTCAAACCGGGAGTGTTGCTAACACTGGCCCTAGCAATAGCAGTGCTTTGCAGAATCTACCACCGGATCGGAAATGCGACCCACTGAGAAGATCAGCACAGGTAGAAAAAAAAAGATGGTCCAATCGTTTTTTTTTTATTGCTTAGATGGTTGGACGAGCCCACAGACCACCTGGTGTTAAGTGGTTACTGGAGCCCATAGACATCTACAACGTAAATGCGCCACCCACCTCGAAATATAAGTTCTAAGGTCTCAATATAGTTACAACGGCTACCTCACCCTTCGAACCGAAACGCATAACTGCTTCACGGCGGAAATAGGCGGGGTGGTGGTACCTACCCGTGCGGACTCACAAGAGGTCCTACCACCAGTGATTACGCAAATTAAAATTTTGCGGGTTTGATTTTTATTACACGATGTTATTCCTTCACCGTGGAAGCCAATCGTGAACATTTGTTGAGTACGTATTCCATTAGAAAAATTGGTACCCGCCTGCGGGATTCGAACACCGGTGCATCGCTACATACGAATGCACCGGACGTCTTATCCTTTAGGCCACGACGACTCCAAAAGTCTCTAGGGGACACACACATGAACTGCTTAAATAAATAATGATATAAGAGTAGTGTTAGCAATCTCCCAGGTTGAGCCCGTTAGCTTGCTCACACGTTCGGTAAAGTTAGCATAACCTATGCGGGTATAATGTAAATGACTCAGACTTGAGTCGAGGATATTTATTATCAGAAATATTCAAGATCTTCAAGAGTGTCTTATAAAAGTTTTACTTTATTAAATATACCTACTTGTCTTTCCTTTTTACGACGGATGCAATTTCATTTATAGATAGAGAAGATGTGTTTGATGCGAAAATAGTGTGACTTGGAGCTACCTGTAATATAAAAACGAAATAGTTATTGATCATCATAATATTATATTGATATTGTAATATAAATCAATCAGGCTATGGACATTCTCAAGATATGTACCTACGAGTATATACAGGGGTATATATACTATGTACATTGAGACTCGAAACTTCGTGTCTCAAGGCGTATAGCCGCATTTACGACTCTGACAAGCAGTAAACATTAGGCGGGTCGTAAATTCGTACACCGATCTAAGCAAAAAGAAATCACAAATTCGCATGTTTTGTTATGTGGCCTTATTTTTTTACTACGAATCATATTACGATACCGGTGCGTAAAACATTAAAGGTTGACAGAAGAATATTTTGTTCATTAAGTTAACAAGTTGAAAGCCACGCGGCGGACCGGTGGGCCTAGCGTTATATACCATTGGGGACCAAGCCAAAATCAGAGAATCTGTAATTTTTTATCAACTTGAGATTTTCGTTCAAAATTTATAAAATGCTATAATTTTCCAGGGAAGCTAAAAATTAGCGACTTTAACTGTCTAGTTTTTAAGATATATTAATCATTGATAAAAACTACAATTTTCTATTGGATTTGAAAACCAAGGCGTTCGATTTGCCCTATGGGCTACGTGGCTAACTTCTTGTAAGAAGCGTTTACGTCGGAACCCTCACGAGGCTCACGGGTGACCCTCATGGCCTGAACGGTTCAGTAAGATAAGGCTCACCAGTGAGCACCGTGGCCTGAATTAAAAAACTCTATTTTTCATGCGGCATCCTATGTGTTTAAAGTACCCTTTATTCCGAAGATATTTACTTGGGAGCATTTTTTTTGTTAATTCGATTATTGTAATAGCATCATATGCAGTTTTCTGCTTGAAATTCTACTGTGTACAATTTTCTAATGATAAAATGTAGACTGTCAGTCTACCTTGCAATTTCGCCTGCTCAGTGGAAGATCTTCACTATATTAACTATAGTAAATAAGACTTATCTGGTGATAATTAATAAAAAGACCTCATAGATATCATAACATGAGTGTAGCTCACCTTGAGATATAAACTTGAAGTCTATAATTGTTGTTTATCCCCTTCATACTCAGGCTGGTCTTACAGTTTCCTAATCCCCAATTCGCAGTTTTGTAACTTTTATATTTTTTTTATTTTTATACTTATTTATCAATATTATTCACTTCAACATTGAAGCTTACTGGTGGTAGGGCGTCTTGTGATTCTGCACAGGTAGGTACCACCACCCTGCCCATTTTTACCATGAAGCAGTACCTAATGCGTTTCGGTTTGAAGGGTGAGGCAGCTGTTGTTCTATAAAAACTGAACCCTTAGAACTCATATCTCAAGGTAGGTGGTGGCGGCATTTACGTTGTAGATATCTATGGGCTCTGATAACCATTTAACAACAGGTGCCTTGACCTCGTCCACCCACCTGAGCAATAATAAAAAAAAGCTAATCATAAATGTGTATTAGGAATCCATTTCCTTTGAAAAATAGGTATAAAACTTGACCCCAGAGATAGTCATATAACTCTACACGAGTAAAGCAGGCATCTTACTCTTATCAACACAGGTGGTTTGCTATCATTAGTAAGTCAGTTTTTTTTGTTTTCTAGCATTGGGGCAATTATTACAGGAATAGATAAATTACTTTGCAAAAAATTTAAGCTATACTGCCAACCTAAGCTACACTAATTCAATTAAACTAATAGTAACTAAGTAAATATAATATCGTTAGTGATTATGAATAGTGAATAAACCTTAAATGAAAAATTTATTAAAAGTTCTGGACCATTCTCACTGCTTATCAACTATATTTTTTTTTATTTAAGATCATATTGTTTACTTTTCTATTCAAAAATAAACATACATAATGGTGTAAAATCTAGAAAATAAATATTATCAAATAAAAAAATACATACGCCATCAAGCTGCTTAAACAATTTATGCTTCACTCCAATATTTTCAACAATAGCCTCAACAACCAGATCAGCAGATTTGGAAGCCTCTGCTGCATCAGTTGCAGTATTAATCCTTCCTAGTGAGTCATTCACAAATTTCTCTCCTTCTTGGGGATTATCTTTGTACATCTTCTTTGCGACCCTGCTGAGGTTTGTGCCAATGCTCTTCTTGGCTTTAGCCAAAGCATCATTGCTGACGTCAACTAGGGTAACATTCTGTCCTGCTTGGGCAGATACCTAGAGAAGGGAAGGAAATTTGTTTCCATGCTATTTGCGCTTTTGTATTTATCTTGTTCCAGTTAAATTTATAATATTAATAGAATTTATTAAGGCTCGTAACATTTTTCACAGCTTTCATATTAAACAGATTTAGAAAATTGAATATTGAAAGTTTTAAATTTAATCAAAGTTACTTTTACAGTCCATTCACAGTAATTGAAACAGTTGTTACTGCTTTTATTCAATATGTTAAAGAATATATACTATCTAATCGAATATTTTTTCTTACCTGGGCTATGCCGGAGCCCATTAGACCACCTCCAATAACCGTTACATTCTTGATAGCACTTTGCATTGCAGAGGAACTTGAAAAATTTCTTACGATAACTTTAAACTGCATCATTTTCGAATCTATTTATAAGTTAGGCTTATAAAATAGAACAAATTATAAAAAAATATTAACAGTGTAAAACTTAATTCCAAAGTTCATTTGATTATGCTACTAGGTAGGTATTAGGTATTGGATGCACGGGTGGCTATTAGTTGTTAGTTGTTACTATGTACGTACCTACAGCTACTAGTTATTTACGAAAGTCGTTTGATTGTCGAATTAAAATTATGAGCTGTTTGAATTTATTTAGTTAGCGTTGTATAGTATACCGAAAATAGCGTACAGCTTTACGTTTATTCTTGTTTTTTAAATCTACAAACCGATTAATATTAGAAACGGGAAATACTAAAATCTTACTTGAAACTGAATTCACAATTTCCTGTGCTTTTAAATAGTCGATAAACATTACGTTTTTTTTCCCTACCTAAGCTGATAGCCTTGAGAGGCTATTTCAGCGTAACCTTAACTAGTAGGTGAGCTCACGGGGCTCAAGCCGGAGTGATGCTAGCACTGACCCTAGCAAGAGCAGTGCTTCGCAGAATCTACCACCGGACGGAAACGCAACCCACTGAAAAGATTCGGCGAGAAACTCAGTGAGCTGTGGGTTAATTCGCTCATCGAGCCCTTCGTCGCAAGCGACCGGTTCGACTAGGACGGTGACCGGTGCTTGTGGTACCTAAAAGCACCGTTAATCGATCGGGAGGATCCGTAATGACGTGTTTTGGGCGACGACTGTTTACCATTCGGTCTACAGGATCGGGTATGCAGTTTCCAGCGGCCATGACAAGAGGGTTCTCATGTCGTGCCGCATTCTCAAAGTAGCGCAATGATGCCGACTGTAATACTTACTGACTGAGTCAAGTTCCAGGTCATCATGGAGATCCACGTTCCTGAGGAACCATGGTGCTCCGACGGCTATCCTGCAAAATCGGGATGGAATAACCGGAAGGGGTTTCAAGTTAGTGCGGGCCGCGTGAGCGAACACTACGCTTGCATACATCATGACGGGGCGTATGCAAGTTTTGTAGAGTTTTGTTACCTTATACAGAGGGAAAGTTTGCTTTGTAGACACGTCCTAATATGAAGGCGGCATGGTCGCGTACCGTTATGATGTGGGGATGGAATGTCATCCCTCTATCGAGGGTGACGCCTTGGTATTGGACCTTCGAAGCCCGCGGTATGAGCTGGCCAAAGAGAGTGATGGGGCTAACGGCGAGGTATTAACGCGCCTATTAGGGAGTGGAATGCTCGAAGTCGTATTCGGAAGGCGACCCCTTTTGAAGAGCACCGCTGTGCTTTTCGTGGGGTTGATGTCAATGCGCCACTTCCGGAACCACTGTCCCATGGTGGTTACTGCGATCTGGAGTCGCCGATGCAAAAGCGACTTGTTCCTACACGAGTAGTAGATAGCCGTGTCATCGGCGAAGAGCGCTAGATGGGTCTCCGGAGACCGGGTTATATCATTGATATACAAACTAAATAATAACGGGGAGAGCGCGGAGCCTTGCGGGACTTGGGCCGTCAGAAGACTGGAGCGAGAGCGAGCTCCTTCTACTCGATATCGAAACGAACGGTTGATGAGCACGAGTCTGTTTGGCAATCCCATGTTGTACAGTTTGTAAATCAAACCGTTGTGCCAGACTTTGTCGAACGCCTTCACGATATCAAAGAAGAGGGCTCCGGTCGGGATTTGTTTACGCCTATTTAGCCCTATTAAGATGTGCTCCGTGAGGCGGTGCACTTGTTGTATGCACGAGTGTTTGGCGCGGAACTGCTCGTCTATTATTATTTTGTTCGCGGTAACTAAATCACAGAGGCGTTTCCGAAGGAGTCGTTCGTAAATTTTGCCTATCGCTGGGAGGAGACTAATCGGACGGTACATTACGTAGTGCCTCATATTTATTGCACAGGACAATCGCTTGTATCTCTTTACTTTCGTACAGACAGACTTTAGGCTCGTCTTCCTATCTAGTGCTTTAAAAAATATCCAGTGGTAAAATAACTTAAAATAGTACCGTATCAAGTAATGAAGTATGGATGGATATGTGAAATTATCCGGACTTAGTTTTGTTTTTATCTTTTGACGATATAACGTAAAATTTAAGTAAACAGGTTTGGAATGTTTGAACAAATGGTATAACTGGAGTGATTGAATGATTGAATCTATAAAAGCAAAATGAACGACATCGTCGAATACAAAAATCGATTAGAAAGAGAGAGAAAAACCCAAACTAAATTCATTTGAGAGCTAACTTTACACTGAACGTAGTACATATTGTGAGGAAAAATTTTAAATATAAAAATTGTTGTAATGTTTTGAATAATCCATACTTTAAAAAAAAACACTTTTCTAACGTTTTTGAACGTTGTTAAATCATATGTTTGTGACGTTAGTAGGTAAATGATTCTAAATGACAATTGATAGACAAAATTTCCCTAACTTTGCAAATAGAATATTAATTACAAAAGGAATCAGAGGTGGTTTGCATTTTAAATAAAGATCGTCATTTTATTTATTGAAAAAAAAAAATGAGTTTCACACCGCCAGTATTAAAAAAAGAACGTATTTATGACAGGTAAGTCCATAATACATAAGAGTTACCAAATGATAACAATATTATCGTATGTTTATCAACATATATGGACTTTGTACTTGCTTTACCGCTGATTTATGTTAATTCAACTTGAGTGGGAAGTTAGTATTTTTGCACCTGTACACGTCATTTACCGGCCGGCTTTAGAAACGATAAGAAGAAATTGAAGATGAATAAAATTTTCGTTTTGACTCGGAAATTTTCGATTTCTACTTCTCAGAATGCGATTAAAACAGTTACAGTGATCGGCGGGGGCCTTATGGGCTCAGGAATCGCTCAGGTAAGTGATGTAGATTTTTTAAAGTTAATTTGGTCTATAAGTGGTTTAAATTTTCTTTAATTAATACTCACTTCAAGATTTCAGAAATTTTACGCAGGTTTACTGTGGTGTTTCATCATAATTCAAATTAAATAATGAGGTAACCTAAAAAGCTTATAAAGTGTTTCGGAAATTTTATAGTGCATGATTCAAAATGCAAATTAATCTAATTATCAACATAGTAAATCAAACGGAAGATTTTGTAAATAACAGTTCACTCCTCGATAAATTTTCTTCATAATTGTAAAGTTAAAAAGTGACATGTCATTCTCTTGAGAATCTCAAAAAATAAAGAGAATCTGTATATTTATGTATTCATTAAGGTTAATATCTTAAAAGTAATAACATAAAATGAAAAAGTGTTAGTACAACACAAAACTGAGGAAATGTTTTTATTGAAATAAGAATCCTCAGTATAAATCTATCCAGCCATGAATCTAACTGAAATTACTACTTTGTTTTCATTCGTCCGGTGTAGCAGTATATTTGCCTATTTTTGTATCTAACTCCTTTACTCCTATCTTAAGAACTGTACAACCAATTGTAAACTCCCATGACTGCATTTCATTATGTGGCCTAAATTAGCCAACTAGCAACCGCTTAGAAAGTACGAGAGAGAGTGTCAAAAGTAATTGAGACTTCAATGTTGTATATTTAAGCTCATGTTACCTGTAAGCTAATTAAAAGATAAAACCAATAAGATACCCCAAAATGATGAAAAATTTAGGGCATGCCAGAAAATGTACAGTAAATAATTGCATATTTAGATATAATTTTGAGTGGAAGTTCGATTTCAAAACTCAATTGGAAATCAAGTACATTTACCTATATTTTGTTTGTTTTTCTGAACAGCATATCCTGAGAATCTTTGATCAAAACCCACTCAAAATATCTTCTTCATAACAATTTTGTTGAAAGTATCTTTCAAATGATAATAAAGAATTTTCTTTCTTCTTTTCCACCTGATTATTGAAAAGGTAGCTTTCAATTTAGCTTATTAACTCTCAATTTTAAATCATGTTTTAATTATTAGAACAAATAAATTAATTGATAAAATTTTATATTTATTAATGACAAATGAAATAATTTCAATTCTGATCTGGACTTAACTATACAAAAATCTCTCTAATGTCAAAACATGAAAATCAACATAAAAAATATTTTAAAAAAACCCTGTTTTAAGCGTAAACACATCTTCGATGAAGTCTCACAATAGTTATATATAGCTAGTAACTTTATTGTACTGTTTGTTCTCGTAACTACTCTTTTCTGAAGGTAACAGCGCAGGCTGGCCAGACTGTGACCATAGTAGATTTAGAGCCGGAAATACTCAATAAAGCCCAGAAAAGTATCCAAGCCAACTTAGGCAGGGTAGCCAAGAAACTGTACAAAGATGATCCAGGTAAAATTGAAGGTTTCGTCAAAGAATCCCTGGACAGGATCAAAATATCCACGAAAGTTGAAGACAGTGTGAATTCGGACTTGATTATCGAAGCCATTGTTGAAAAACTGGACATAAAGCAGGAGCTATTCAACAAACTTGACAAAGTAAGACATATTGTCTTTATTCTCATAAAATAATAATTAATTGCATAACCGTAAATGTTGGGATGCATGTATATACCAGTTGCAGGTACCTCCTCTTGTCAAACTTGTCAAAGAATTGTTTGAGATATCATACCGTAGTAGAGTTTATCCATACTACCTGGAGCCACTGCATTCATCCACAGTGCGTTTCCAGAGATCTTTTTGCCGCGTACCATCCGGCTTTGGAATAAGCTCCCCTCTTCAGTATTTCCCGAGCGCTATGACATGTCCTTCTTTAAACGAGGCTTGTGGAGAGTACTTAACGGTAGACATCCACTTGGCTCTGCCGTATGCTCGTCTGCCTGCACGGGCAATAAAACAAAACGTTATCAGAGCCTACAGATGCGACTATGTCGTCGATCACCTTGAGAAATGAGGTCGTAATCTCAATATCAATCGAAGAGACTTGGGTTCACTGGTGTGGTGACTAAATCTTCGTTTACTGTGAGAATGAGATATTTTTTTGGGATAAAAGCTAGTCTATGTCCCTGACTGAAAACTATTAATTAAAAAAAATGTCTATTCTTGCTTCGTTACGACATAAGTAAACAAGGACAAACAAACACGCTTTAATATTTATAATATTTGTATAGTGTGGATAATAAGGTATATCTTTTGTTTTTAGTTAGCACCTGAGCACACAATTCTAGCCACTAACACTTCATCAATATCAGTGAACGCTATCGGCTCGGGCATCAAAAGGAAAGATAAGTATGTTGAAGTTTTTATTCACTTATTTGCTTATTTTATTAAATTACATACAGAAGCATTAGTGGCATTAGTGAATCCATTGAGAGCATTTTTGCGGGATAAGCTTATTTCTCAATAAATATTACGTTAATTGACACCTTTTTTTTCACCTTCAGTTAGGTATGTGACTAATGAAAGGTAGTCTCAGTCTTGCTATTATGCTAAATATTGAGTAATATTCGAAATCAGGTTCGGAGGCCTCCATTTCTTCAATCCAGTACCAGTGATGCGACTCTTGGAGGTTATAAAAAGCGATCACATATCCGAGGACACTTACCAGACCATGATGGAGTGGGGCAAGTCTGTGGGCAAGACTTGCATCACTTGTAAGGACACTCCAGGATTCGTTGTCAACAGGCTCTTAGCTCCGTACAGTGCTGAAGCGCTGAGGATGTACGAAAGAGGTGAGAATGGATTGTGGCATTTGTTTATTTCCCGCATTCTGAAACTAGAAAAATCTAGTGCTAAAAAGCACAGGCAGGGTAGCCCACTGAGTTTCTCGCTGGATCGTCTCAGTGGGTCGCGTTTCCGATCCGGTGGTAGATTCGGCGAAGCACTGCTCTTGCTAGGGTCAGTGTTAGCAACTCTCCGGCTTGAGCCCCGTGAGCTCACCTACAAACGTTAGGGCGAAGCTGAAATAGCCTCTCAAGGCTATCAGCATAGGTAGGAAAAAAAAGCGCAGGCAAAGCGGCGACCGCAACTGTCAAGAAAACGGGTGCCCAAGTTTTATTGGTTTTGGATCGATTCAGTTCTTAAAAGGGTTGTTTGATTATGTCTTTTCTGACTACCGTCATTTGTAGTATGTGCCAGTTTTTACTAGTCCCAATACAAGATTAAAAATATCAAAAATAGAGGTTTATGCGTGCTGTCATAAAAGAATAGTGGGAAAGACATTTAAGTAATATTAAAATCGGTGATGTGGCCTTATAATACCTACTTACTACCCAATAATACAGGCGAATAATGCCTTGTTTCTTTTTTTTCATTTTTGCAGAGAAGCTGGTTATGTGGTTACTGGTCCACACAAAGTTAATAACGGGAAGGCAGACAAGAGTTCTGTCTTTTATCTATTCTAGCTTCTCCTTTACTTTTATGACTCTGATAGTTGGACGTGCTCATGGCCAACCTGGTGTCAAGTGATTACCGGAGTCTACTGGACGTAAATGCCGTCACCCACTTTAAGACATGAGTTCTAAGGTCTCATTTTTAACAATACAACGGCTGCGCCCTCTTCAAACCGAAACGCATTAATGCTTCACGGCAGAAATGGGCAGTGTGATGGAACCTATCCGTGTGGTCTAGAACTATTGGTAGTACCCAACTGGTAAAGCTCACGGGTTAGCGTAACTGCTAACTCTATCCCTAGCAAGAGAAAAGTGTTCTGCTGAATCTACCACCGGATCGTAATCGTGATCCACTTAGATCCGGCGAGAAGAACAGCAGATTTTTATAAGTCTTAATTACGTAACGGCCTTCGAGCCGAAAACCATGCCTTCTAGGCAGTTATTAAGCAATATAAATATATAAATTGTGATTTTTATTACCCGATCGAATTTCTTCTTCGTGACTTACACGGTACACGGCTCTCGGTATGTGTTCGAGGCATTTGAACACCGCTTTAGTCCCATTGTTCGGTTACCGGTGCATCAAGCGTCTTGACTACTGTTGACCCTGGTGTACCAGTCATTGCTTAGCCTCTATCGTTGTTTCATCTCATTTCAATGAAATAACAAATAATATATACCCCTCACTAATTCAAGGTACTTTTGTATCCTCGTTTAGGAGTTCGAACAGGGATCATCATAATACATTTTCGCTATCATCACAAACGATGTGAGACCTTTCATAATGAAACACGCTTATCTATATGGTTTATTCTATTTACTATTTGTATGTCTTGTTTATTTAAGTCATGAAACATTTTCTAGTAGTAGTAGTAGTAGTTTTATTTTTCCAATTGGGATAGGCAAAGGTATTATACCATTCAGCCTAATCTTTTATATATATTTGTTTATATGAAAAATGATATTATGAAATGAAATAAAATGAAATGAAATCATATGAAATGAGATGAGATATTATGGGATGAAATATATAATCTCAGTAAAATGGTGGTCATTTACTGAGACTTTTTTAGTGGACAAGTGTTATATGGATGTTACTTAGATTTTATGGTGATTCATCAGAAAATGCAAGAAAAACTCAACTCCCTAATTTCAACCGAAAGCATATGGGTGTTTATTTTTGGCGCGAAACGATAGAAAATCACGGCTTGAAGGGTTGAATAGCCATTGTATCAATGGAACTAGGACTTCGTGTTTATAAAGGTGGCTGCAGGGCTTGTGATAGGGGATCTTAATTAAATCAAAACGTTGATCGAAATACTAATCGCGAATCATTAATTATTTAATTAATTTTAACTATTCTTTTGCACATAATCAAAACACACGGTATAGTATTATATGGTTAATCTTTGTTTTGTAGTATATCTGTGGTTAGCTAGCCGCTCATTTTGGCGCCGAATGACGTCACACTTATTGAAGATGCGCTAGGCTGTGCTACAAAAAAAAAGACTTCCATTAGGGATTTTTTCGGAAATTGAAATGATTCAGAAAAAAAAGACTATTCTATTAGGATTTTTTTTCGAAATTTAAATGATTTACGATCGAGTGACCATGCGTCCGATGTTATAACGATTGATTCCGTTGCAGGCGACGCGACCAAGGAGGACATTGATATAGGTCTAAAGTTAGGCGCAGGGTTTCCTATGGGTCCATTTGAGTTGGCCGATTACACGGGTCTGGACACGAACAAGTTCGTCTTGCAAGTGATGCACGAGATGACCAAGCATCCGGTGTTCGAACCCATCCCGCTCTTGGATAAGATGGTAGCCGAAGGAAAGCTTGGCATCAAAACCGGCGAGGGATGGTACAAATATAAGAAATAGATTAATACATCACCGATTAGCGGTAGGCAGCGGCTTGGCTCTGCCCCTGGCATAGCTGAAGTCCATGGGTGACGGTAACCACTCACTATCAGGTGGGCCGTATGCTCGTCTGCCTACAAGGGCAATAAAAAAAAAATCAACACCCAACGGGTACGTTACCTCGAAAATTCCTTGACCTCGATTCAATCGAGGTCGCGTTATTGATCACATCTTTACAATCAATATTCTAAATACTATTAGTGCTGCTAGAACTCGATTGATGTAAAATACAGGAGATATTATACCGATTTCTCTACGTTCGGTTGAGTGGCATCGAAAAAGTTTGAGTGTTAAGTCCTGAACATTAAAATCTCGAAGTCGGCTGAAGGTCAGCTTGAGCAAGGCCTGTCTCCATAGAGTCAAACGATTATACAGATCATGTCGAGGGCTGAAAGGCTATTAAAGGAAGATTTACGCGACATTTTTGCAACTTTACACAAGAGCTATTTAAAGTTTAAGCCACGTCCTTACGGATCCATCAGCTCCAATAGTTCTAGCATTAGACGCCTTCAGCTCTAACACCAGGAGCAGGCTTAGGGACCCCGGCAACCGTACACGTCGAACTCGACAAAGAGTTCGAAGTGCAACCTAACCCATGCTTCAGCCCGCCGAGTTTCTCGCCGGGTCCTCTCAGCGGGTCGCGCTTCCGATCAGGTAGTAGATTCATTCCTCCGGTGGCCTCCGGGCCACCAGTCATAAGTATCACCATAAAAAAAAAGAATGGAAAAGATATCATTAAAAAAACTTATTCAGTTACTGGCTGACCCGGCAAACGTTGTTTTGCCATATAAATTATTTCTAGGAAAGATAAATAACCTATATACCGACTGCAGCGCCATCTGCCGGGCTGATTTGTAAATCTAAAGCGTTCTCGAATCCACCTGAAGGTACACAGAAAATTTCAAAATCGGTCCAGCCGTTTAGGAGTTCACTGACAAAACCCACGCACAGAAGAAATTTATATATAAAGATTTGAATAGAGTAAAATTAATTGAAGTTCAATTAAATACATCGAACTGTTCATGCTGACATCAAACTAAAACGCAATTAATAATTAATTACAAATAATTAATTACATAAATGTCGCGTATTAAGAGAAATGTCGCTTAAACCAAATAGCCTTCACCACTCGATATAATCTTGTTACTTTGTATCTGTATAAGTTAAATGAATGTCGACAGTTCATTTTATTATTTAAATTTTTGTTACTACATATGTTAACTAAATAAGAAAAATTAAAATATTTTTATGTTCATAATTATTTACGAATAAGCAGCCAGTTATTAAGATAATAAAAAGAAAACATTAAATAATCGTATCTAACGTATTTTTTGAGATATTAAAAATTTACAGTACACAAAATATATATTATTTTTCTTGCTTCAGTCGGTGGATGAGTTTACGGTTACCTCGTGTTAAGTAGTTACCCGAGCCCATGGACAACAGCAATGTAAATGCCGCCATCCACCTTGAGACACGACGTTTGAGTCTTAAGTGCTTATTGTACAACGAACATGCGTGGTCCGGTAACCACTTCACATCAGGTGATTGTGGAGATACTTCAAATCTCCATGCAATAAACAATACTAAAGTGATACTTTGACTATTTTTTCTTTTTTTTTGTTCTAAATTTAAATTTATTATTCCTTATTTTTTATTTCTTCTTAATTGGCCCAAATCCGATTCGCTTTCTAGACACATTTTGTACTTCTAGTGCAAGTCTGTCAACATGATGCGGTACCGGTGTGCTTAGTGCAAGTTTTTTAACGTTCTCGATAGCGTAAAAGTTAACCCAATTATGTATGCAATTGGAACAGCGCCCCTAGCGGCAAACGCACGCAAACCATCCCATTCCATACAAATATGAGCTAACTTTTACGCTATCGAGAACGTTAAAAAACTCGCACTAAGTACACGGATTGCAATGTGGAAACAGCTGGCACTATGTGTTCATTGTTGTTTCGATAATTATAGATCACTGTAAATATACATAACTGATGTTTTTCTTTTTTGCGTTAATGTTGTGGTCTTTTATCCCTCTAGAATAAACATGCTCGGGTGTGTGGCAATTCGAATTTAAATACTTTGTGGTTGTTTTAAAAAAAAAAAAATAATTGTGATTTCTTTTGTATTTTTTGAGAATAAAAAATTTTTTTTTTTAAATCTATATTCAGGTTTTTATTTACCCGTCCGCGCTTTGAATTGACACATGACGTGCGGTACAGATTTGGATCTGTCAGTATTGCATACGCGCATATTTCAATGCGGTCGAGGTCTTTTTTTTATGTGATAGAAAGCTTACTGGTGGCCCGGAAGCCTTTCCGGCCTCCGAAGGAGACCTACTAACCTGAGAGCAGCTGCTTTGCGGATGAATGTACTACCGGATCGGAATCGCGACCCGCTGAGAAGATCCTGCGAGAAACTCAGCGCGGCTGGCGTTTAGGTTAGGTTGCACGTCACTCTTTGCAGAGTTCGACGAGTACGGTTACCGGGATCCCTCCCTACTCCTAATGTTAGAGCTAAAGTCGTCTAATGCAATGGTTACACATATATACATATTATATCCTCGACGTTAGTAATGGGTTAGTAGTGTCATTGCTTAATTGTATATTGTGAATAAAATGATTTCCTTACATTATAAGTTAGATTAGTTTTCGTTATCGTGTTGTTTTGTCGTATAGTTGTAAGGAACGTTGTTGTACAAATTCAGCACTATATGTCTTGTTTTGTCGTGCGCACATAACTTATGTTGCAAGCCAGATTTTGTTTCTTTTTACGTGTGTTTTTTGTGTATCTTTTTAGCTTGTGATGTGTATTGTAAGCCTAATAAATAAAAAGATATAGCCAGACCTTGACCGCGATTTTCATCCGGTAGTAGATTCATTCGTGAAGCAGCTATTTTTGAGCTGTTAGGTTTCCTTTGGAGGCGTTCGGGTAGCTGTTAACAAGTCCCACCCCTCTGGCTGAGCCCTTGCTCGCTCACCTGTCCTGGCGAAACTGGAAAGGCCTTCGAGTCACCAGTAATCTCTCAAACATAAAAAAATACAATATGTGTGGCGCTCCTTCAAAAGATTGCATCATCGATCGTAGGCAAAGGACCCTACGTATTGAGAGCTGTGACTGTTTTATGATTTGTTTTATTTTAGCTTTAGTGAAAATTTTCCCCGTACCTACACATTACCACATTAAAAAAAAGTTACAGAATAGCGGCCAGCTATCGTTTCTATCTCAATTATTATGCCACGTTAATTATACCTACAGGGTGTCTCAAAAAGGATATATCAAGCGGAAAGGTCTATCTACAGCAGCAACAACATAGATTACTTTAAAAATGTTAAAAAAGATCTAACTCGCAATTAGTAGTGTCATACAAAAACTGACTTATTGCTTCTACTGTTCCATGATAGTCTAGAATACATGTATACGAGACATGAGTTCTAAATTTAAGTTTTCATAACGGCTGCTGCACCCTTCAAACCGAAAAGCGTAATTGCTACGCGCCAGAAATATGCAGGGTTGTGGTACCTACCTCTGCGGACTCATAAGACGTCCTACCACTAGTAATTACGCAAATTATAATATTAACGGGTTTGATTTTTATTACACGATGTTAAGTATTCCTTCACTTTGGAAATCAATCGTGAATATTTGTCAAGTACGTATTTCATTAGAAAAATTTCACCTGCCGCGGGACACGAACTCACCTGGCGTCTTATTATTTAGGCCACGACGTTGTTGCAGAGAGCGGATCTTACGTAAATCCTATGTGGAATGTATTTCTTTACTACCATCGCATACGCATGGCATAACTGGTACTAACCAGTAGTTTCTGTATCGGAATTTCTTTACTAACAACGCATAAGCATAGCAAAACTGGTACTAACCGTTGCTGTATGACTAGTAGTTTCTGTACCGGAGAGTGACACAAGCTACTTTTAATCCCGGGAAAATGCAGCGTGTTTCATTCTCACCGAATACCAAATTGATCGCTGGTGAAACCCCGGATCATGTCCCAGTAATTATATACATTAGCTGTACCCGGCCGTTTCGCTGGGCATTTAAAATTAACATTATCATTTCTCACCCCCACAAGGTTCTCATCATTAACGCCCCCACGACTGGTGTAGGGAGTCCAACACTCGTATAAATATTAGCCTATCCATTAAATTCATGTATATTCTACATGGACACCAAGTTTCAAGTCAATCGGATGCATGGTTCAGTAGTTATAACGGAACATCCGTAAATACCACTGTAGATTTATATATTACCATAGACTATAGATATATATTGCCACTGTTTTTGAAGCTTTAAGACGAAGACTGCGTATTTACAATAAGCACAAATATATACTATAGATAGAAGCAAATCTCTGGCTTCTGGTAGAGAAGTGCTGGTATCCCTCGCTCGGGGCGCCGAAGAAAGATATAAATTCTTCGTTTTTGTATCACTGATTGATTAAGAAGTACCAAATAATTGTTTGCAGACAAAACAAAAGAACTATTATCAATTCCCTGCAGCACACCACTAAACAAAAATTCATTCTCGTACTAAGAACTAACTGGCTAGAACCTGGGTTCAGCGTTTCATATAAATTTAAGGAGCTATGAAGTTGCCAGGTGCATCACATAATTCAACTTGTTGGACGGTTAAATTTGAGGGGACTGGGTTCTGTAGGAGAGGGGCTATGTAAAAACATTCTGCTTCATGGTTAATATAATTATATTGCAAATACTTTGTACACTATTACACCATTATATTTTACTTCTTATAAAACTCTTAGATGTTGCTCTGACCGTGTCTTGATGCGAAGTCATTGCATAGATTATACACTTAATATATGAGTCATTGTCTTCACTGACGAGAAGACAATTGTTTGTTTTAAACATTTAAAATAATTCCAATATTCGAAATCTGTAACCTTACATGTGTCAAGTGTTTCCGGCCATTACTTTCGTATTCAAACTACAACACAACTAATTGAAAATGACACAGTATATTTTTTTTAAAGAACAACCTCACAGGTACCATTTGAAAAAGTTTCACTCACAGATGTCAAACTATGAAGGTTTTATGTCAATTCGAAGTACCTATTACAATAAAACGGCAATTTCATACTTTAACCCCTAGTATATCGAAGTACTTTATGGTGAAATCCGATCTATGATATGCCAGAGAAAATCACGAAAAAATTTAAATTATTTCTATTTTAGTTTTTTTTTTGAAAAATCACATGAGCAACATTTTCACAATTTACAGGAAATACGTATGCGCAATGATAGTTTATCGTAAGATAAAGATATTGTTTACGATACGAAAGGGGTTTTATCTTTAAATAAAGCCAATTTATCTTTTGTAATGAATGTTCGATGTTTTAATCTCAGTTTTTACGCGGGAAATTCCCGTACATAAGGAATGTTCGCTTCTGAAATGATTTTGCGCGTCCAAAATAAATGACAGGCGCCACGGATGATAATAATATATTGCCTAACCATAAACACATTTTAGTAAAA